TTTCTGACTTACTTCACTCTGTATGACAGTCTCTAGGTCCATCCGCGTCTCTACAAATGACCCAATTTTGTTTCTTTTTATGGCTGAGTATTTTTTTTTCTTGAAGGATAAATTTATTAATTTATTGAACAAATACTTATGGTACCAGGCATTGTACTTAACAGCACAGTTCCAGAAGCTGCCTTGTTGGTCTGATTCTGCCTTTGCTGGGGAACCTGTCATCTGCTTGTGCAACATCACTCATGGGCCTCATCAGACAAGTTGTTTTAAAGAAAATACTAGACACCATTTCATTTTGCCCATAAGTATCTTATATGTCTTTCTCATTGCTAAGGACTTTAAAAAACCCATAAATTATCATGCCATTATTTACACTTAACATTTACAATTATTCTTTAATACCGTCTAATACCCGCTAAATATTTAAGCTTCCTTAATTGTCTCAAAAGTGTATTTTTACAGTTGGTTAGTTTGAATTAGCCCTCACACAAGGGCCACACATTGTCTCTTCTCTGTTACTCCTTTTTCTTTTTTTTTTGGCCACACTGAGCGGCATGTGGGATCTTAGTTCCCAGACCATGGATGGAACCTGCACCCCCTGCAGTGGAAGCACAGAGTCTTAACCACTGGACCACCAGGGAAGTCCCTCTGTTACTCTTTAACACCTACCCTAATCCTCTCTCCCTTTTTCAAACACATTTGTTAGGAACTTTGGGTAAAATATACCATATTCTGCATTTAATTTGTTCTCTGTGACGTCTTTAACTTTCTCTTCTAGCTCCCCTTTTTTTTGCAAAGCATATAGATTAAGAGGCTTGCCTAGACTGAAAATAGTTTCAAGCAAGAATTTTTCATAGGTGGTGCCATGCTTGGGGGCATAGGTGTCAGGCTCTGACGTTTGTGGTGGTTCTAAGATTGATGAGTGAGTTCAGGTGAGGTTGGCTCAACCCCTCCATGGTAAAGTTCCCCATCCACCTTTCACCATATGGTTTCAGCAGCCAGTTTCGTTCTTTGCCTAGATTCCATTATATCATTAGGGATAAGATAGACACCTTTTGAACCTGTGTTTGATGCTGTCACTAGAAATGATGTAACAAGCCATCAGAACCCATTCATGTAATGTAACAGAACTTTAAAAAAAAATTCATTCTGTAGCTGTACTTTTATCTGCACAATACAACTACCTCATTCTTTGTGTTTCTATTTTGCTTTTTAAAATGATGTTTAATTATTTAGAGCAACATCCAATGCTTAGGATTACAAAAGCATATCCCCAAGAATAATTATTAAATCTGTTTTAAATTTCTTTACTTCGTCCCTCTTTTTAAATACTGATTTAAATTTAAATTGTAGGGAGAACTCTATAATTATTTTAGCATTAATTGAAGTTGTTTCAGGCTGATATGTTTTCGTTTCTCATTTCTTTGTTGGGAAAATAAAGTAGTTGAGAAAGTGTCTCATAAGATGAGATTTATAAGAACTTGCATGCAAGGTAACCTCGTTTCTGAGGAATAATTTTTGGGAACAAAATCTTTCCTTATACTCAGTTATTTATGGTGCTCTACTGAAAACTTCTTATTTTTTAAAATTTATCATGGTTTCATGAAACGCATATATCAAGAGTAAAGTTTAAAGAAGGAAGAAAACTAAGAAAATAGGATTCTCTTCACCTTTTCATTCTCAAGTCCTATAATTTATTTTGTGTGTGTATAACACCGTTGAGACCTCACAAGAGAAGTTTCTTTCAGATTTCAATATTAGGAAAAGTTGATGTTTTTTGCTTTCAGTGGTAGAATTAGAATGTTCAGATATAACTGTACAAGGCTTTAATTATACATTCTTCCTTTTGTTTCATTTTATTTTCCTTTCTCTTCTCCCTCCACTATTTTTCTATCTCTCCTTGAATTTTTCATCTTAAAACAGATAATATCCTATTGTAGTGTATGCGTTTATGTAAGCAATCTAAAATTCATTTAGAAATGAGGGGAGGGTATAAATACATAAGGAAACCAATGAAAATACATGTGAGTACATGATCACAATTAGGTTCTCATTTCATTAATTTTCATAGGTGGAATCTTCAATAGTAAATTATTGGGTTGGCCAAAAAGTTCGTTCGGGTTTTTCTGTAAGGTGTTGGAGAAAAACCCAAATGAACTTTTTGGTCAACCCAATACTTAAACTTTACAATTACTGAAACTTAACAGTTACTTAAACTTTTTTTTATTTACAGAAATTTAAGCATTTAAAATTAATTAATCTTAATTTTTAAATTTTTAGGATTATAGCTATGATTTATTGTGTATTTACTATGTTTTGGGCACTATGCAGAGTGCTTTACACGTATTATCTTATTTAACTTTCAGACAACAACCTTTTGTGGTACATGACTGTGAGAAAACTAAGGTATGGAGAGCTTTAGTAAACTTGCTCAAGATCAGAGGTTAGAGCCAGGATTTGGTTCTAGGCAGTCTGATTCCAGAGCCAGTGGTCCTATCCATTAAACAATATTATAGTATTCCCTAAAGCTGTTTGCTTCAAAAAATACCAGTGCTTGTCCCACCCCTGAGGCTGTGACTTAACTGGGCTGGGACCCAAAATTTTTAAAAGATTTCCAGGTGATTCTAACGTGCAGACAAGTTTGGAAACCATTGTAATACTGCTTTGCTTGGGACATAGCTGACACAATGGCCACCTGAGAGCTATTCCTTCCTGCCAGTTGATGAGATAACATCAAAAATGTGTTTCTAAAATGAAGCATGAAAGCTCTACCTGTGGGAGAAATTATAGCATGAAAGGGCAAAAGGAAATAGCATAATTCATTCGTATTACCAGCATTTGTAGAGGTTATTTTAGGATTGACTCAGCGTTATATTGACTCTGACTTGTGCATATAAAGCTGGAAACCAAGCTTGGTGATGCATCAAAATCCACAAAACAAGTGCTGTATCTTTCATGAGGGACAGCATGACTGTGTACAAGGGCATTTTTGTAGACTACTCTCCCCTCTTCCTTAGGTCTGAGTCAGTTTAGCCTTAAAAGGAGAGTAATAAAAAATAGCCGAACTCAAAATTTTCATTTACTTTTTTTTTTTTTAAGGTCATAGCCTATCTCCTAGTGGGCTGTAAACTCCTTGTGAAGAGAAACCAACCGTATCTTATAAATTTTGTTCTCTCAACTTTGGCACCAGGCTGCACATACTAGAAACCCAATCAATACCTGAGTGCTGTGTTTCCTACAGTGCTCCTACATTGATGCACTAAAGTTGTAACTAATAATTCTACCATTCATCTACTGTCTGCATGTATTATATGCAGGGTGTTTTACATACATGTCACTAATCTTTACACACACCTACCCATTATCCTCCTATCTGAGGAGAGGAAACTGAGTCTCAGAGAAGTTAAGGAATTTGCCCAAGATTGTACAGCTGAGTAAGTAACAAAACTGGGGTTTGAGCCATGTCTGTCTGATGCCAGAGCACACCCACTTTCCTTTACCCCAAACACTCCAGAGGGTGGACTCCCAGACGTGATTAAAAACTCCCAAGGAGAAACTGTCTGGAACAATTTGTCATAATGAGGCCTATTATCATAGGCCTTTGGATAATTTGGCCTGTATGATCGCCTATATTTTCCCATAGTAAAAAAAAAAACTTCATAATTTTTTTTTAAGATTTAATTTTATTTATTTTTGGCTGCGCTGGGTCTTCGTTTCTGTGTGCGGGCTTTATCTAGTTACGGCAAGTGGGGGCTACTCTTCACTGCTGTGCGCGGGCTTCTCATCGCGGTGGCTTCTCTTGTTGCAGAGCACGGGCTCTAGGCACACAGGCTTCAGTAGTTGTGACACACGGGCTCAGTAGTTGTGGCTCACGGGCTCTAGAGTGCAGGCTCAGTAGTTGTGGCACATGGACTTAGTTGCTCCACGGCATGTGGGATCTTCCCGGACCAGGGATTAAACCCATGTCCACTGTGCCACCAGGGAAGTTGCTCTAAACATGAATTTTAATTTGCTTCCATTTTGTCTGTTTTGAATAGTTCAGGTGTATCCAGCTCTCTACTGTTAAAGATACCACCATTAACATTTTTGTGCATAAATCTTTGCCCACAATTGGAATTATTTCTTTAGGGTACATGTTTAGAAGTAGAATTGGATTAAGGAGTATAAGCATTGCTGACTCGTACTACCAATTATTTTTCACAAAGTGTACTGATTTAAATACCCACCAGCAGCATGCAAGTACTCATTTCATCTTACCCTTCCAGCGTTGTTTTTTTTTTTTGCTGCTCCTTGTGGCCTGTGGGATCTTAGTTCCCTGACCAGGGATTGAACCTGAACCTGTGCCCCCTGCAGTGGAAGCACAAAGTCTTAACCACTGGACCACCAGGGAAGTCCCTGCATTGTTATCCTTTGTAAAAGAATTTTGCTCATTTGATAGTTTTTAAAAATCTCATTTTTTATTTGCATTGTTTTGATTACAAGCAAGTTTGAACTTTTTCTTATGATTATTAGCCCTTTGTGTCTCCATAGATGAATTCCTCTTCTTTGTCCGTTTAACTTTTGACACCTTCCTTAGTGTTCTCCTTATTCATCTATCCTTTTATACTCTTCAGTTATTAAGGCTATAAAGCCTTTATCATTTTACCAAATATTTCTCCAAGTTTTTATTCTCTCTAATTTTATTTTTTGACACACAGAAGTTTTGTTTGAAATATTTTAATCTGTATGTTTCCTCTGTATCTTTTGTCACCTTTAATGCAGATTAAAATCCAGTGATTAAGTAGGTATTCTCTTATTTTTGCTCTAATTCAATTTTTTTTAATTTAATCTTTGATTTACCTGTGGTTTACTTTGATAAAGTAGTGTGATATATTTAATTTGGTCTTTTCCCTAAATAGTTACTTTTCCTAACTCCTTTATTTATTGATTTGTGATAGCTATTTTTATCATATAGTTGATTCTTACTAATCTAATTTTTGCTTTTACTTTTCTTTTTGCAGATCCTTGTCCCTGTGACTTTGTAAGGAAATGGTAAGACTATAGATATAGTACCATTTTCCCAGACTTTACTAGCTGAATGGGGCACTCAATCTGGGGCATTTGAGGTGAAAGCCTGTCTTGGGGGTTTTGAGAAGATTCCTATGCTTTCCCTTTGTCATTAGGCCCTTTTCTCATGTTAATTCCTGTGGGAAAAAGGAAAGAAGAGAGATAAAGTGATTAAAATGAAGATTTAAGAGAACTCTTCTTATATTCACTCAGTGCTTACTTGTTTGCTCAATGCTATGTGTGTCACATAATAGGGCTGAACCTTTAAGGGGCTTGGGATTCTGCACTGACAATCTCATGTCATAGATTTTGTGAAGCTCCAAGTTAATGTATCCCAGTCTCCTCTTGCCTCTAATTCAAATTCAGTAGCTAATGAAATTTCAAGAAAGTGACCTCTATGAAAAAAAAACGTGTGTATGTGTGTACATACAGTGTATAAACTAGATGCCTCCTGAAAATAAATGCTTACTCTTGGTTTGGCTAAGATATACTTAGAAGAGGTAACAGCATAGAATCATTAAAGAGAAAATACCAAGGGTTCATGTCAATGGCTCATATAGATGAGAAGTAAATAATATCAGATTTTATTTTTATCTACTCTTTTAATAAGTCAGTTAAAACCATTCATATTGTTTGTTTAACATTTACATTTATTATTATTAGTTAGACTTATTGTAAGGTCGGATCTTAACAAACGGCACCACGAAACAGAGGAAAGCTTCAAGTGAGCTTTATTAGGGAGCGCTCCCAGGCGAGGTTCACTGGTCCGAGAGAAAGGGGCCGGAGAAGTCGCACCCGGGCGAGGGTTGGGCAAGATTTTATAGGGGAAGAAGGGAAAGGGGTGTGGTGAATCTGGGAGGGCGCAGGGTATTCCTTATTTGGTGGTCTTTTCGGGTATCCTGGGGGACCGTTGGTCCCGCCCTTCGAAAGGCGGGAAGGCTGGGCTGGGTTCAAAGACCCCAGGTCAGTTCCTGGAACTGGGTGGTGCGGAGAATTTCGGTCTGATGCAACCTGTGAATCTGATTGTGTTCCCCTGCCTCGGGCCAGTTGGCCTTACACTTATTTTGCATCTTCTATTTACTATGCTTTCTAGTTGTTTTTTCCTCACCTCTTTTAGGTATTAAATAGTACTACCTTATTATTTTTTTATTTTTTTTTCTTTTGCGGTACGCGGGCCTCTCACTGCCGTGGCCTGTCCCGTTGCGGAGCACAGGCTCCAGACACACAGGGTCAGTGGCCATGGCTCACGGGCCCAGCCGCTCGGCGGCATGTGGGATCTTCCAGAACGGGGCACGGACCCGTGTCCCCTGCATCGGCAGGCGGACTCTCAACCATTGCACCTGCTACCTTATTTTTATGTAATACTTTGCTGTTTAAAAAGATTTTTTTTTCTCACAAGAATCCTGAGAAGTCAATAAGGTACATATAATCAACTAGATTTTACTGAGAGAAAATGAAATTAAGAGAAATTATGTCACTTTCCCAAGGTTGTATGATGGCTGAGTAGAAGATCTGGTAGAACTAACATTTACTAAGTATTACTGAATATCCACTTAAAATACCAAATTACTTCCAATAAAGGTATGCTGAATGAGCAGACTCTCCAATTACTAGATAGTGAAATCGTTTACACCTGGTAAGTTTTTATACTTAAAAAAAGACTGAAGAGAGTGTTGTTTTTTTGTGCTTGTTTGTTTGTTTTGCGTTACGCGGGCCTCTCACTGTTGTGGCCTCTGCCGTCGCGGAGCACAGGCTCCAGACGCGCAGGCTCAGCGGCCGTGGCTCACGGGCCCAGCCGCTCCACGGCATGTGGGATCTTCCCGGAACGGGGCACGAACCCATGTCCCCTGCATCGGCAGGCAGACTCTCAACTGCTGCACCACCAGGGAAGCCCAAGAGAGTGTTTTTTAAATGTTTTTGTTTTTGCTGTTATACTACTTATTGCTTTTGTTTTATTGCTTAATTTGGTTTGATTCTGTGAGAAAATTGTTCTATCTCCATTTTCTATCCGTGTCCCAGTCCTCTCAAATAATCTTGTTAAACAAATGTGCTGTACCTGATTGTTATAAAAGAAAATATTTTCTGAATATAAGCAAAATAGTCAAGTGTAAAAGAGCATTTTGACTGAAAGAGAGAATTATTTGAGTTACCCAATCAATTCAGATCTGAAATGATTTCCATAATTGTTGCTATATAAACATATATTTATTGCTCTGCACCTAAGGTAAGGATTTCCAAAACTTTCTTAGCTGTTGTCAAACTATAGGAGACTAATTATCAATGAAGACATGGAACAGCAAGGGAATCCTCATCAAAAAAAATTTGCCTTCAAGAGTTAAAATCCTTCGACCACATTCTCTTGTTTCTGCACAGGATCACGACTAGACATTGTGAGGTAATATAATACCCGAGAGAGAAGGGAAGCCTGCCTTAAGATGAAGAGATGTAGGTTGCAGATGTAGCTATGGTGACATAATGCACAATAAGTGAATGAAAAGGAGAGATATTAGTCAGACCTCCACATAGGATTAGCAGATGTTAATGAGATAATTTGCAATTGAAGTAACAATCCAATTTAAGTATCTGTAGGAATAAACGAGGAAAATGTCAACTGTCTTGTGTAAAATGATACATTAAAAGAATATTGTTTAGCTGATGAAGAAAAGGTAGGGAGGGAAATCTTGGCTTGGAGGTGATGATGGGAGCCAGCAGCTGACTTGCTTGCAAAGATTAATATATAATAAAATGTTCTGTCTGCACTAAGGCTTGCTGTTTTCCTCTACCTAGCCACCTCCCCTGGAAAGTTGGCTCAGACTGTCTCAGCAGGGCTCAAACAGTACCTACATGTCAAAACCATTCTTTTACTGAGTAAGGGTGTAGTTTTTTTGGGTTTTTTTTTTTCCTTCTAGCAATGGACAGTGTCTTCATTGTTTCCTGACAGTAACATGTCTTAGGGAGTGCATTGTATCAATTACATAGCAGATCTCAAACTTTCACCACAAAAGGATCTTTTGGTTATCTCAATCCACCACCACGATTTCATGTTTGGAAATATTTTTTGTTGTTATTGTTCATTATATTTGTTAACTTAAAAAAAAATTAAGGACATGCAAAAGTACTAAACAGAGTCTTCTATCAGCGTGAAGTAATGTATGGAGTTGACATAGTTCAGAAACAAATTTGGTGTTTTGGGGAGCCTCAACAGCCTGTTGGTGGTGTCAGATTCCATTTGATTTTCTGAGATGTTCTAAAGGTTGTGGACTCCCATTATTGTCTTCATAGATCTCCTAAGGTTTGGGGAACTTTAGGCTGGGAACCCTTGAGGTAAGCATCAGAGTAGTCCTGAGGGACAAAATGCAGATAGGTTAGTTGCAATAGGAAAGGGGGTAGTTAGAAGAGTCCAGAATATGACACTGGGGGAAAAGGGTGTAGAAGCGGTATACTGTTCTTACTGCCTTCAAACCTGTATTTTACCTAGCAAACTATTTGAGTGATAACACAGTTTAAACAGTCTTAAATGTATTACTTTATCTGGTTTACTGATGGTTCCATGATTTTCCCGTATAAGATGCTTAAACTCAGTTTATATTTTAAACAACTAAATACCAATTCAATTCAATTAAATTAGCATTTACTGAGCATTTACTATTATACATGCAAGGTATCATACTAGGTGCTGTGAATGAGAAAGGAAAAAGGAACTAACATTTATTGAGTACTCACTCCATGGTTAGAATGTGCTAGGTACATAACCCTCCAAGATGGATATAGTTATTTTTATTTACAAATGAGGCTAACTGCACTGGCCTCCTGTTATTTTTCAGACATATAGGCATGCTTCTGCCCCAGGGTGTTTGCACTTGCTATCACTGCTTCAATGGGATGATCTTTTCTTGAAAAGTTTATATACCTTATCCTTGTTCAAATATAAGCTGATCAGTGATGCCTTCTTTGACCACCCTATTTAAAATTGCAACCCCGTTCCCCTCTACATACTCCTCATCCCCTTACTGACTTTATTTTTCTTTGTAGCTCTTATTGCCATCTTATATACTATGTATTTATTTTTTCATTATTGTCTTTCCGCCCTGACTTGAGGGCAAAGATTTTGTCTGTTTTGTTCCCCTATATACTCTCAGTCCTAGAACACTACTTGTTACATAGTAAGTGCTCAATAAATATTTGTTGAACAGATGAATGAAAGCTGAGAGAATTAAGTAACTTGCTCCGGGATAAGAAAATAGCACTTCATTTAAAAATAAGAAAACACAGAATATCCATTGTTGGTACTGGAATAATAATCTCTTACATGAGAAAAATGGTTGGATCAAACGTTCCATGTTTCTAAGATTGAGTGCTGCCACCATCACACTGGCCTCAGGGGAAATGTTCCATTGTTAATACTGTGGCCTGGGTGTGTGCCTAGAATCCTGACTTGCATTTCTCTGCTAGCACAGCTAAGGCAAGGCATTAAGGGGCAAATAAGTCATTACTAAAGGCTGAGGGACAACAAAAGTTGTTGAATTAAACAGAGAGTAACATGGAAATAGATAAACTGATTGAAAGATTTCGGCTTGATCTTCAGGATGGATGGCCCAGTTTTGTGACTGTACAACCTCGGGAGTTCCTGTTAATCCCCCCTTGCCTCCTCCCACTTTTTAAAAGGAGCTTCATGATGCATCAATCACCATTTAATTAGGAAGACTTCATGTAAGGGTTTGCCCGAATCCTACCTGACACCAGGCAGGGCCAGAGCTTATTTTAACATAAAGAGTTTAGAGCCTATTAGAGAGCTCAGGCAACTGTTAGGGAGAATGCTTTTCCTCTCACCTGCCTTTTTGTACATAGAAGCAGTTTCCTTGAGTAATTCTGGCCTCTTTCCTTATCCCATAATTAGACCCCCCAGGGGGTAGAAGTGACATTTGTTTGATGGGATTGGGAGAGAGAACTGGTCACTTCTGGGTCCTCTCTCTTTGGGACCTGCT